CCCCCACCCCACCCCACCCCCGACAAAAAATGACCATAAACATTTTGCCAGTACATTGGGAAAATTGGTCTGAGCCTCAGTTGTATAGGGTCAGAATATTTGCAGCAGGTGGCCCCCCCAAAACAGGAATTGGTGAAATTGTGAAATTCGGGGCCCCTTTATAGTAGACAAAGACAGGGAAAAATTTGTTATTTTTAAGGAATATGGTTTGAATTTTTTTTCTTTCCCACCCCAACTTAATTTTGAAAAAATAAAGCCCCACTTAAAATGGGGTCTCAGGAGGCACTGGAAACTCGACTGGCACTACCATGAGAACTGCTATAAAAGACTTTGTGATTAAAACAAGTTGCAAAAAGTGGAGGAAAAGAGAACATGAGGCAGTGAAATCTTAATTGGCTGTGAAGTTGCAGACTGTTCCACCAAAGAAGGCTTTTACACCCATCACTTTGCTCCCAGTATGCATAATATGCGAGAAACAATCAGATTTGTTTGCCATGGTATGTCTTACATTGTAATTATATGGTATATTTATCATTAAATGAAAACATTATACAGTTGCTAGTAAATGGCACAGCGATCGCGTAGCAAAATAATCTCCTGAATAATATTTATTCCAAAATTATTACCCGTGAAGAATAACCCTTGTTGTGTGTGAAACTTCAGATGCAGGGCTATTGCGCGAAGCTGGCACAAAGAAAAAGAACAACTACATGATCTTATTAAAAATTGTGGAGAAGATTGTGTTGCCATTGAGGTTAAGTACCATAATAAGTGATACAAGAATTATACTAACTATTTGTATGGACAGGATAAGACATCATGTGAAACAACTTCAATGGTTTTGTACAACATGGGATATGATGATAATCACAGCGCTACACAGTCCATATTGAATGATGGAACTACAAATTCTGTGTCATGCTTCTATATTGCTTAAGAAAAAGCTAGCCACTGTGAAGTGGTATATGGACCCTTGGCTGCCTGTAGTTGAATGAATAACTTTACTAAATAAATTTCTTGTAAAGAAGTTATTCTACAGAGTGGAATTAATAGCAGATTTTCGATGTTCAGTGATTTTGCCTGTTGGGTAATAATAAGTCATGGCTTGGTTGTGTGTAGCGTTCATTGGTAAAATTTGGCCATGTAACATCAGAACTACTCCAAAAGAACTGTCTGATCATAGTGAAATTAGTTAGTCTGGCGACATGCGCAACGGATTTCATCTTCTAGGTTTCTTTCAAAGGCTTTAGATGACGGGTAAACAATTTGAATTTTTTAGTCTCATTTTAGTTTTCTGACTTGCATAACCACTTTAATTCACACACTGCGGTGCACAATTTAAGATACTAGTGCAAAATAAGCCCTTTCCCTGCATACAGTCTCTCAATATAAGCTTTACTGGAGAAACAAAAATGCTGACTCAGCATTTTTAAAAAACTTTGGAACGTGATATCTCAGTAACGAATTACTGAACGTTTTCAGTGTAATATAGTTTTTTTGTTTAATTATGCACCTCAATCTGATGGCATTAAACATTTTTCGAAATTCGAACATTTTTACCTTTCGGAACTATAGATGACGTCATCACCAGAATACAGTCGATTTCTCGTTGTTGTGCACACTTATGAAGGGGGGCTTTTTTATTATTTCATTTGGCATGCTCCTCTACTACTTTATGAAAGAAATTATTAGCCTCCCGATGTGTGCAACGAAAGTCACTTTCTAGGCATATTTTTAGCCTTATGTGACGGCCTACAATGGGCTCATTAGTGTCCTGTACATCATACGGTGAAATGTATTTTCCTAGCTCCTTACTCTCTGAGATACTACCCTTGTTTTCCTGGAATATTTCATAGGAGACCACCGCCATATTAGCTTCCATTTCTGCTTCTGCTAATTCTCTTTTCCTCCTAACTTCCTGTTCCTATATCTCAAATTGTTGCCGAATCTTCAACTGCTCTACCTTCATACGCGCTAGCGCCATTTCTTTCCTTTTTCTTACAATCGACGTTGCCCTCGAACTGCAGGTCTCGCTTCTCATGCACTTGGAATGTTTAGATTTAGCGCTTCCACTTCCAGTTTCATCATGCAATTCTATTTTCGCCTTCTGACGCCATTCTGTTACAATGGTATCGAGATTCAATTTGCGTTTTCTTTGCTCTTCGTAGCTAACACAAGCACTTTCTTTCTCAGTCTCATGCTCTATTAAAACGAGATATTTCTCATGTACCCCGACAAATTTGCACCAAGCTTGGTCAAACTTATTTAATTTCAACGAAATGTCCCCCACATTACACTTATTGTAAGCAAACATATCGAAAATTTCTTTATAAACTTTCGTAATTACGCCAATATAACCCGCACGACTTTTCGCTAGTTGGTATATTTTCTCAGATTTATACCTCAAATCACTCGCCTGATCGTTAGGTGTAGGAACTCTTGTACGCGCTTCTGGCATTTCATCACTGTGAGATTCTATATTAACTTCCTTGTCAGACATCTTTAGCAAACACTGTCTCAATATCAACGCAAAATATCGTTCTCAGATTCAATTGTTTACAGCTATACGCGACAATCACAACACAAACACGAATATATTCATATATTGTTCAATAAATGTCGTTCCAAAGCGTATAGTCGAAAACTGTTGCTAACCCGCGTTAGCTTTAATTCAAAATTCGCTCTAAATCATAGATTTGATACGTATATAACTCAACTCCTTTCTCTCCCGTCTCAATCCAGCAATACGCGATAAATTTCTTCGACAATAATTTAATATTAAATCTTTATACGAATAGTATAGCAATAGGAATAGGAATAGGAATAGGTTTTCTACAATAAATACAGATATAAACAAGAAATTACTTATATATCTTATACATAACATAATATTAAAGTAACAACGAAAGTCCTTACCGACTGTCTCAAATTAATTCATATCTTTAACAATCAATCTTTCGCTCGCAATAAGTCACAGTTCAAATTCGTCGTCGCTCGCAGTCAAGAGCAAAATATCAATCCCAAAACATGCTCCCAACCCAGCTTAATAGTTTTCTTAATTATGTAATATTGTTAATATCTAGTAGCTACAGTGACGTAAAAAGGGGGTTTCTCAGCCTGAGTCACGTTACACGAATAAATTTGCTCGTGTCAGTCATATGACAGTCATATGACAATGCATGTTCTTGTGAATTCATATTCCACGAAAATATAGCTAATCTTGTTTACAATGCATAAGCAATCGGAAATGAAAAAGTACAACTATCACCAATCAGAATCCAACACGACAATGCTTATTCCAGCAAAGCTAATAAGTGTTCCAAAGACAACATAACTCATTCGACTAGCAGTGTGTCTGGTTCAACCATGGGTTTCAACACTCCAAGTGTTCTTTGATTAAACTAACCGGAAACAAAACAAGCGAAGACGTCTGCAGTAGAAGACGAAAATCCATATTATTTATCGAACAGGCGGCGGTAAGATGGTGTTTTATTTCATCGTTTTCATTTAGATTCCACGGGACGGTTTGTACGTAAGCTGGATTGCGCTACACTGGATGTAGCAATTTTTACAGCCTGCGTGAATACGGCCTGTTAGCTCGTTAGCTGAGGTTATACCGATCCACGAGCAACAATGTGTAGCTTGAAAAGATTGTTATCCAGTGGATAGCACTATTCAGCATCCGTGCGACCCGTTCCAGTCGCTCATCGGCCAAACTACTAACGCACATAACAAACTGGAAGGGTCTTGAGTCTCGGCAGCCTGTAAGAGATAACAAAAGGCCCTTCGTCACAAACTAGTAGGAATTCGAAGGGCCTTAGCTGGAAACGTCGAGAAGTTTGTTATCTCTTAGACTGCCGAGATTAAAGACTTTCACAGTTTGTTATCCTACTAATTTGCGGCCTACGCTTAGATGCATGTTTGAAGATTTTTACAAACGCATATAGCTACTATGAGTGCATGTAAGTTTGCATCATTGTATGTAGTATGCCAGTACTCCTTTCGTTTTCAAAGCGACATCGCGATCGATAGATATATGACCAAGTCCTATGGCATCTACTGACTACTGTATATATGCTTCACCTTGTCAGGGCCGTAGCTAGACGCGATAATTGGGGTATATTCATATATTCGTGTTCGATCTGCCTGACTGATTTCTTTTGTAAGCGATTGTTTTTACAGTGTGTCATATGTGAGCATGAATTTATGAATATACACCCCCGAATTATCGCGTCTAGCTACGGCCCTGAGCTTGTGAATTTTGCCGTTTGCATATACAATCTTTACCAAAAATGTGTTGCGCAACGTTCTTAATTTTACATATTCAATTGTTTATAAGAAAATATTTCCGCGAGTATTTACCGCCCACCCCCCCCCCTTCCAAACGACATATACCATTGGAATCCTCACAAAATAAGCTTTCAAACGGGGGGTATAATGCCGTCAAAACATTGCACTAACAAAAATATCGAACATTTACCATTTTGCCATGTTCAGTTCTGCTACTGGTTTGTAAGAATTCGTTAAATACATCGCCAAGATCAAGAATTTCCCGTACATCCTTAGATCCAAATTATAGCTTGTATTCAAGTGCTTATTTGTGGAAAGATTCGTTTGTATACGGCAAGCAGAAATATTTATTTTGTATTTTTCAAAAGATCGTCTTTCTGCTCCACGCGCGTGCCCACGATTATGCTTGGCCAAATAAGGGCCGGACCATTAGATATTTGATGGGGGGGGGGGTAAATCAAAAAAAAAATCGAGCAAGCACTTATTGTTACGAAAAAATATCGAGCAGGACAAATGCGCACGAAAAAAATATCGAGCACATCAACCAAGTTTCCACCCTCGTGATTGTCAGAAGTCTCTCCTTCGCAGAGGCTTTTGAAGAAATTAACCTGAATCCATAATATATAACCTTTTAATTAAATATTATTTTTATAACAATTTGAAAGACTTTAATAAAAGACTTTAAATATAAATAGAAGAGTCGTATAAAAATATGTGAAATGCGTTAGACGTGGTTGCAAACCTGGCTTTGGCAAAGATTACCGCTGAAATCTAGAGTGCGAGCACAGATTAAGAGGACCTCTTAATCGGTGGTGCGGACGTCAGAGAGAAGATGCTAGCTTTTTGGCTTTTAATATTTTTAAAATTTCCTCAAATCTCTAGTGGTATATTGTCACATGACACATACACAATTTTCAGGAACTCATGCATGGATCCCCCATCATGTGCAAAGAAATAAAGCGTACAGTGTGCGAGCAGAATGGGGTATAAAATTTTGAAAATTTTAAAATTTGGCTACTAGAATTAAAACGTTCTTGTGAGAATATCAGAATAGCTCGAATATAATATTTTTTATATTAAATATATATACTCTGTTATTATCAAAAGACATGATAATTTTTCATTTTATATACCAACAACAACTTTAAAATAGCAACAACAATAGTAGATATTATCTAAATATATGTACATGTATATAGTTGTTTATATATTAATATAGGAATCAAGAATACAAACAAAACAATTAACAAATGTTTTATATATCAAACAGTTTTTCAATCTTGCTCCTCTCACATTTATTCTGAATCTGAATCACTGATTTCATTAATCAGTGTAGTGTTTTATAATCACCATCCTTGGCTTGACTTGCATGTGCGGACATACTTGATTTTCCACTTTTTCTTTTTCGCTTTGCACTTTTGTACGCAATTGAATACCCATGCTTCTCTCTGGCTGCATCCAGTGTGACCAGGTTTAGTACATTTTATTACCAGATCCGGTTGGATGCCCTTAGACAACCCCACCTGCTTTAAACAACTGCAACATTAAGAACAGGAGGGGGCAGCCAACCAATTTTAAGCAGCTTTAGTAAAAAAATTTGCATATATGGTCACACTGGCTGCATCCATGCACTCACGAGCCTGTTGTGCCTTTTCTTTGATATGGAAGTGTCGATCACAATAAGTTGAGGTCTTATATTCTTTGATAGGAAATCCAACTAATCCTTGTAACCAATATTAAAGTGCATATAAAGCAACTATTAAAGTTCAGAAGCCAATTTTAAATTTTTCTCCCCACCCCAAGTCCTGATTCGAGATTAATGTATAAATGTATTAACCTATATGGCTAACATTTCCAATTTGTGTGTTAATATAGGTCTATTTTCTACTATAAAAATACTATCATCTCTTCTGAAAAGTGGAAACTACTGTACCTTTTTGGGGTACTCCAGCAGGGCTGCATTTAGCCATCTCAGTATCACACTTCTGTAGGGTATTGGTTGAAAAGGTGCTGACCTCTTCAAGTTTTGCAACATACTGGCAGATATTTTCATACATGGCTTTTGATGGCACATTGGATGATTACTCTCTGACTCTGTTTTCCAAAAATGATGCTACTGCAGGGTGTTGCCTTTCTAATATTTTACACTTTCACATAATACTTTGCAACTTGTAGTATTGATTCCACGTTGAAATCACAGGTGTTTTTGTCAATGCCAGCAAAAAAGAAATTCGTGTTGACTTTTGTTTTCTGCACCATAATTCAGAGCTACGGAGGGTCTTCTCAAATTGCATCCGTTGTTCTGCCATTTGTAGAATAAATGAGTTGGAGAATACTTGAGTTGGATTGACAGGATTCTCAAACCATAGAGCCTTGTACTTTCTCTTTAAGGATTCAACAGAGACGACTATGTTCCCTTGTCCATTTCGTGTCCTAAAGAAATTACTCAAAGATGCCGAAAATGCCGAAGATGTTTTGAATGCAGCAACACTTGTTTTGGCATTACCAATTTTCGCACTTTCTTCTTCACTTTTCCAAGTAGTGATCTCACGTTGAAGTCGTCTCCATTCAAATACTGTTAAACCTAACATGTCAATATCCTTTTCATGAATATCCTGTAGGTGTTCAATTTGACTCAAACCATTTGATTGGAAATTCTTAAACTTGTCTTCGAGTGATAATTTTTTAAGAAATGCTTTCAATTAATTTTCCTTGCCTTCTACTTCTAATTCAACAGGAAGATCAACAACCCCAGACATCAAACATCAATTTTAATAACATATATTTGAAAATTCACTATTTAGAATGTCCAATTGATGAATTTAGTATTTTATTATTTTTATATATTATTAAAAATACATGAAGTATTTCTAATTTTCCATGTTTCTTTCCACTGACCAGAAGGAACACAGTGACCATAATTATTTAAAACATAAATATTTAAATTTTCTTTAATTTTCATAAATATTTATATTTATTAAAAAATGACGAATGTAAAATGATGAATATTCGTACAAACGACGAAAACGTATATCCCTTGAGAGCTCCATCAGTTTGTCAGCGCAGTTAGAGGTTGAGTGGCTTCTCTTTGAAGCATGTCAATGTATCAGTGCAGACGAAAACAGCTGCTGAAACACACGAAAGTATAAAGTCATCCATTCGAGCGTCCATATCAGAAGCATCCAAGGCAAGTTAATACAATTAACATTCCTGATGAACCGATAACTATTGTTGAGCAACAACCCCAGGATTTAAACAAAAATTTAGAGTTAAACACCTCTCTCTTAATTGGCAATAAGACTTCTCGGGCCGACAAAGGATCGGTGTACAATCCTCAGATGAATTCAGTTATTGAATGTATCGAGGCAAGAAATCAACCTAGAACCGATCCACCGAAAGGGCCACATACGAGCAAAGCTACCAAACGTAATTCCGCTATTTCTAGCAAACCTTTGCCCAAGCACTTAGTACCTTGCCCATTTCTAAGACGGAGAGGCTTTTGCCTAAAGGGTCCCTTGTGTGACTTCCAGCACAAAAATTCTCAATCGTCCAATAATCCGCTGAATAACCCGTCCTATTGTTCGTCCAATAATCGACCAAGAGTATCTAATAACCTACAGCGATACCCTCATAACTTGGGCTATACATCTTATCCAAATATATCACAACCTATTACTAATCATTTTCCTTTTCCTGTGAGTTCAAGCCATTTCCCCCCGTTTCAACCTCCACAGTATCATCCCATGCTTCGACCATATGTATACCCACCACCTCTGTTGACATCAATATAACCCCTTTACGGTCCCCTGTCGTGCCCCCCTCAGCACCACCTACAATAACGTTTCCTGGTATGCCCTTGAGTGTTCTAAATCGTCCTCGAAAAGTGAAAAGCAACATTTCAAATCAAAAACATTGTGTAAATAGAAATAATCTGATACAGATTCAAACCAAGAGAGCCATTCCTGGGACTCAGGCACATAACCGCTTACCAACCTTTAGCTGTTTACCAACATTCTTTCACTCCAACGTAAGATCCTTAAATGCTAAGATTGATGATTTGCAAACTGTCACCCAACAAAATAACGTAGATGTAATCGCCATAACAGAAACTTGGTTAAATTCTAGAATCACCGATGATCCAATATCCCTCCCAGGCTACTCTATTGTTCGAAATGATCGTGAAAATGGCAAACGGGGCGGAGGAGTGTGCGCTTTTATTAAGTCCAATATACCCTTTTCCACCCTTCCTAATTTTAGTGTCCCCGACGTCGAAGGTGTGTGGTTAAAACTCAGACCTTACCGACTACCTCGCGAACTATCCTGCATCTTTGTTGGCGTGATTTACTATCCACCACTAGCAGACAACAATATCCTGCAAGATTACCTTATTTCCACGGTAGATAAATTATTATTAGAGCATCCTAACGCAGGAATTATGATATTGGGTGATTTTAATCATTTTGACTACAAAACATTATGCCGCCATTCCTTCTTGAAACAAACTGTTAAGAAACCTACCAGGCAATCAGCCATTTTAGATTTGATCTTAACCAATATGCACAAGTGGTACAACGAACCTGAAATCTTACCAGCAATTGGCTTGTCTGACCACCTGTCCGTTCTTGCTACTCCTGCTGTTCAAGCTAAACTACCCAATAATATTATTAAGAAAACTGTACGTAAAACAAAACCGTCTAGCATAACATCACTTGGAAAATTCGTCAAGTCATTGGACTGGAGTCACCTTTACCGCTTACCTTCTTGCCAAGATAAATGCGACCTTTTCTACAACCTACTTATGTTAGGACTAGATACCTTCCTGCCAAAGAAAAAGGTTAAAGTTCATTGTAGGGATAAACCATGGATCACTCCGGATTTAAAAAAGCTTATATCAGACAGACAACATGCATTAGCTGCAGGAAATCGTAATTTGTATAATCAACGTAGAAATGATGTCCGCAGAG